CTGTTGTTAATCTCAGAAACTGTTATTCAATTTGCATTGCCTCTAAACGTGGAGATTCCACATACCCACCATGGCTATTGATTGGCTTATTCGCCATCGCTTTCTTTTGGAAGACCTTCTTTGCGAACATATTACAGCGTCCTGAATTAAAATGGATCATTGAGTCCCCTAGCTCCTTGCATGTAAAACAATTATTAAATTAGATATTAATATTGTACAATCAGCTCTGCAGAACTGGATGACCTGGTACTTCTTCACCCAAAGAGTGATTAACACATGGAATTCACTGCCATTGGAGGTGGCGGCGGCTACAAGCATGGACAGCTTCAAGAGGGAATTAGATAAGCATATGGAGCAGAGGTCCATTAATGGCTATTAGCCACAAGGTATAGATAGGGAACTCTCGGTCTGGGGCAAGTGGTGCACTGTATTCTTGGTGCTTGGGGGGGGGCAACAGTGGGAGGGCTTCTAGTGTCCTGGCCCCACTGGTGGACCTCCTGATGGCACCTGGTATTTTTGGCCACTGTGTGACGGACTGGATGGGCCATTGGCCTGATCCAGCATTGGATTCTCTTACATTCTTATGTTCTTAGGCCAGCCTGATCTCCTCAGAAGCTAAGCAGGGGTGGCTCTAGTTAATAATTGGATGGGAGATCACCAAGGAAGTCCATGGTTGCTACACAGAGGCAGGCCATGGCAAACCAATTCTGAATGTCTGAAAACCCTATCAGATTGCCTTAGCTGTTACTTGATGGCATTTCCCAACACTATTTAGCACAACACAGTCCAACCATAAAGAAAGTGCATGCTCATGACTTGGTTCCAAAACCATGGTTTATATCCTAATATTAATATTACACTTTGGTTACCAAAAAGCAGTAATTGGTCTCCAATAATGACGCTTGGAACACTCACTCATGCCCTATTCCTCTCTCCTGAAAAGGGAGCCAACTGCCTGGTGGACAGCTCAGGTTGCTCTTTAGCAGTTTGAGCCTGTTCACCAGGTTGCTTTCTGAGCATGTCAGCAGTCATACGTGGTACACATTAGCCCCTCCCCCCTGCATCACTGCTTCCTTGCCATGCCCTGCTACCAATTGTTCAAATGAAAGATGAACAAAAACAATCACATAAAAATAAACAATGTATACTTTTATTTTATTTTTAAAAAACAATTTATCGCTTGGCATTCACCTGTCTGGGTATCCTCTCAACCTTAATGGCTGCTGAGCTGCCTAGAGCAGCTGTAGTTCACACATGCATGTCTCTGCACAGCCCTAAGGGAGTCATCATTTTCTAAACACATCCCCAGTGTAATTTAATCCATAATTCTGATGGAAAATCAATTTCACCTATTATGGAGGTCCAGAAGGGACCAGGAGGCTGAAGGAAATTTAGCTCTACTACCCAGCTACTGCACTGCTGTAAACCTGTTCGACGTGGTGCTCCAGTTGCGTGCCAAACAGTGAGACGAGCTCAGTTCACAAGCAATTGCAGCTTTCGAAAACGGCATGAAGCTCTCCGAATCTTCGCTCTTACAAAGCCGTAATTTTCAGATGGGCCTTCCACTCTGAATTTGAGAGTTCAGACATTTATATATTTCAGCATATTCCAAACTTTAGTGATCTGCTCCTTTAATCGACAGAATTACAGGGTTATGCCAGTTCCTTGGTGCAATAATGTTAGCGGTGTTTAATTAGAGGCTGGTTTACACTTCGATACCATGTCATCTAACAAGCCAAGCAGAGCAATTTTGGGATTCAAGGGTAAACCATAATTCAACATTCTTTCATTCCCCTTCCTTATTTTAACCCACTATTTCTGAATGAATAGGTACATCTACCCCATGGGTAGAAAATCTACACTGGGAAAGTCACTCCTCCAGCTCTTAATTTCATCACACTTGTAAATTTGATTCACCTTTATTTGTGTCAAATGCCACTTACTCAATCTTACACTCCTTCGGTTCATGACAAATATAAGACACAGGCAGTGCAGTATAGTGGTTAGGGAGTCAAACTAGGACCAGGGAGATCTATGTTAAAACTGACACTCAGCCATGGACTAGTCACTTTCTTTCACCTAGCATTGTTATGGGGAACAGAATTTATATTCTCCAAATTCACTTTTTAAAAAAGATGTAGCGATTGATTCCTCTTATCTTCTTATTCTGTTTCAAAAGAAGACTTTCGCTTTAGTTTCTCTTGAATTTCTCTTTGTAGTTTTCGGTTACACCTATGTGTACCCTGCTATAACTTCGGCCCTTGCAGTTGTTTGATGTTTGACACTGCAGAGAGGTGCTCTGTCAAAAAGACAGGAAGATTGGGAAAGATGTGGCCTGCCTCCAAGCATCTGCAGAATAAAATTCCGAAATTTTGCAGAAACTCCTTTCTGGCCCCTCCTCTCTTCAAATTTCTCTTTGATCAAAAGAAAATAGATTTAAAATGGGTTCCAAACTCCTGAAATGAGGGAAAGAAACAGATTGCTGGATTTTAGGAAGAAGCTGGGTGAAAAGGAATTAAGAAAATTCCTCTTAACGACTCTACTCTTAATCTGAACCACACATTGAGCTGTTAATAAGAGAAATCCCAACAATGTCAGCCACCCGCAACTCTTTGGAAAAAGGACAATATTTCTTCTTTTTTAAAAAATGTGATAGACGTGTTGTACCCATCTAGCCCAATGGCAGGTATCTTACAGAAGACCAGGGGTCATTTCATAGAAAAAGAGGTGTAGGAGCTCATTAGCATAACTTACTAGCAAAACTTATTTGCATATGCCACCCCCCCTGACATCACCGGAAGTGTGTCAGAAGACAACACCCACCACTCAGGCTCCACTGGACTGTTTTGGATTGCTAGCTATTGGGGGAGGGGGAACGTGCAGATCTGTCCTCACAGAGGAGGGAGAGCTTGTACCTGAAGGTGGGCTGGGGGGGCTCTGCAACTTACCTGGCTGCTTCTTGCTCCTCGTGGCCCAACTGAGGGCTGCTGGGAGCAGTGGGCAGGGCTTGTTGCATGTGCCTGCCCCCTGGGCTCCTTACTGCTGGAGCTCCACTCCTGTGCGCTCCCGCAGGAAATGACCCCTGCAGAAGACTTTCCAAGTATGTGTAGCCTGGAGAGGAGATGACTGAGAGGTGATATGATAACCATCTTCAAGTATTTGAAGGGTTGTCATATAGAGAATGGCACAGAACTGTCTTCTGTTGTCCCAGAAGGTCAGACCAGAACAACACATTGAAATTAAATCCAAAGAGTTTTCAGCTAAATATTAGGAAGAATTTCCTGATAGAGTGGTTCCTCAGTGGAACAGGCTTCCTTGGGAGGTGGTGGGCTCTCCTTTGGAGGTTTTTAAACAGAGGTGAGATGGCCACCAGACAACAATGCTAATTCTGTGAACTTAGGCAGATCATGAGAAGGAGGGCAGGAAGGGTTGCATCATGGCCCTTTCTTACATACCCAGGGAAATGCTGATCATCACTTTTCTCCAGGCCATTTTGGCCAGTGATCCTAGAGGTTTTTTGCCATCTTCTGGGCATGGAGAAGGGTTCACTGGGTGTTGGGGGGGTATTTATGAATTTCCTGCATTTTTCAGAGGGTTGGACTAGATTACCCTGGAGGTACCTTCCAGCTGTATCATTCTTCTTTTGGCATCAAGTCATATCTGACTTACGGTGACTTCATAGGGTTTTTAAGGCAGGAGACCGTTCATAGGTGGTTTGCCATTGCTTACCTCCGTGTCATAACCCTAGTATTCCTTGGAGGTCTCCCATCCAAATACTACCCAGGACCAACCCTGCTTACCTTCTAAGACCTGGGCTGGCCCGGACTATCCAGGTCAGGGCCGAAGCCCTTCTACCAGAGGTTATGTGCTGTCCTTGAAGCTATGGGTCCTCCCTCTCCTTGACTGAAACCTGAGGTTCAGGCGTATTTTATCAATCCTTCCCAAGGTAGTCCTATGATATTAAATCGCATGGTGGTTTACTAGCTGGACACCAGGCTCTCGGGCGCTCAGTGCGTTTGCAGACGTGGCTTCTAGCCCCTGAGAATGCTTCTAGTGTCTTGAGAAGTGGGGAGGGGGGGTATGTGTAGAATTTGTAATTCAAATGAAGATCCAAAGCAGACAGTCCAGATGTGGGGTGTCAGGCAGAGGACACCTAGATGGCGGAGCCAGAGAAGAAACAGGAAGGATGGAGGCTGCAAAGAAACAGAATAGTCTACCAGTCTCTTGAAGACCAGGGGTCGTTTCGTAGAAAAAGAGCTAGGGGAACTCATTAGCATAACTCATTAGCATATGCCACACCCCCTGACATCACCGGAAGTGTGTCTTAAGGCCACACCCCCTGACATCACCGGACGTGTGTCATAAGGCCACACACCCCGCCCCCAACGGTCCCGGCAGCCGGCGCCGGCCTTGCAGCTCCACTGCCGAGCCCCATGAGGGGCCTGGCGGTGGACCTGCAAGGCCGGCGGGGGGGCAAGGAAGCCCCGCGAAGGCCCTCCCTGGCTGCGATCCCCCGCGATCCCCCCCGAAATGACCTCTGTTGAAGACAGTGGATGTAATTCTTCTTAGGACTGCACTTCCACGTCACCTTCCATAGCAGCCGTTGTCCAGACTGAAAAAAGGCAAAAAGACCTTGAAACTGTGTAGCAGGAAACAGCATGATTAAGAGTGTTGGATTAGCATTTGGGAGACCCAAGTCTGAATCCCCACTTGGGCCATGCAAGCTTGCTGAGTGACCTTGAGTCAGTCATACTCTCTTAGCCTAACCAATCTTATAGGGGTATTGTGAGGATAAAATGGACAACAGGAGAATGATGTGAGCTGCTTTGGGTCCCTACTGAGAAGAAAGATGGGGTATAAATAAATAAATAAACACATGAAGCTGCCTCATACTGACTCAGGCGCTCGGTCCATCAGGTCGGGATTGCCTACTCAGACTGGCAGCAGCTCTCCACTCAGGTAGAGGTGTTTCATATCACCTTCCTCCTGGTCCTTTTAAGTGAAGATGCCAGGGATCGAACCTGGGACCTTCTGCATGCTAAGCAGGGGCTCTGCCACTGAGCCACAGCCCCTCCCTCGAATAACAAATGAAGATTGGCTCTTCTTGATCACCTGACTCCTAAGCTCTGGGAGGTTCTGGCTAGGCTTGTCTATTGCCTGGTGCGTGCTGCTGAGAGATCTCTTCTTCACCCAAGTTGTTTCAGTGGGATAGAGTGGTGGTTCCCCAACTTTTTGAAGTGGGAGCCACCCTAACCCTAACTTTCTTTGTTTTTTTGAGTCTCATTTTCAAAGCCATTCCACACTATTCCCCCCCACATCATATAAAATAAAAGGATCTCCAATCACTCGACACATGACCAAGTTCATATTTTATTCATCATTATTGTTACACATAAATATGTGGCCTTACTGAAGAATGTGCATAGCATGCATGGGCAACCCCAAATGTGTCTCTGAGCCTTCCAGACTCTTCTCCTCTTGACCCTACAATCCACCAGTATTAGCATTGTGACCCACATCTGAGTACTGACCCACAGTTTGAGTAACTCTGCTCTACATAAGAAAATAAGATAAGCCAATGTTGGATCAGGCCAATGGGCCATCTAGTCCAACTATCTGTCACACAGTGGCCAAAAATACCAGGTGCCATCAGGAGGAGGTCTATCATTGGGGCCTCTAGGATGTAGGGGGGCTTACTCCTAAACCAGTTGGCTTGAGCCATGGTGTTATGGTGACTAAAGGGACCTCCACATTCAGAGGCAGTAAACCTTTGAATGTGGAAACCAAGTGCCAGAAAGCAACATCAGAGGAAGGCCTCCGGCTCCGTGCCCTGTTGTTGGCCTTCCAAAGGAACTGGTTGACCACTGCGACAGGATGCTGGACTAGCTGGACTGCTGGTATGATCCAGCATGGCTCTTTTTATGTTTTTATGCCCCGCTGTACTCAACCAAGTCTCAAAATCTGCAGCAACTGCTGCCGTTATCTTCTGAGAATCAAAAAGCACAACACATCCACAAAATCTCTTCCCACTTGTATAAATCCCTTTCCCTGTTCTTAAGTATTATAAACAGGTCCTACCTCCTCTTGCTAAGACAGATTGTCATCTAAATGGAAATCCTGAGGATTACTATAGATGATTAATGATAACAGGGGATCCAATCCTTCCGGGTAAAGGTGACTCATTCATGTCAAAAGAAGATAATCAGGAAGAGAGGAATACTGCTTAGAGATGGGTGAGCTCCCCCTCCCGAACTCACTTTGGAATAAGACAGATAAATCAGCACATAGCTCAGGCTACTCCAATTCCAGAGTGTTCAAAACACCATGGCACTCTCATTTACATGATTAGAATTGCCGTGGGGCCCTTGAACTTCTTCTGCAACCTACAAGTTGCTGCCGTAGAATCATGCGAGGAGGGAACATTTTCATACTTTCTTTTCTTCTGCTCCTTCTCTGCACATTCCCTGAGTGCAATAAGGTCTGTGGCACAACATGCATTTTGGGAAATGTAGTTCTTGGAAGGCCTGAGATCAGTTTTGGGGGCTGGGGAGAAGGAAGAAGGAATGAGGACCTCTTGACCTTCCAGACAGTTGACCAGGCCACTGCCTTGTAAGCCATGGCTGTTCAGTGGCTAAGATGGAAAGAGGAGGAGGAGGAGAGAGGAGAAATTCTTATCTGGATTGTAGGATGTACTTTTGTAGTCCAGAAGCTGTAATTTCCATCTTGATTTAAAGACAGGCATTATGAACTTCAGAAGGCCTGAGTCAAAGGAGAACAAACTTCAGTGTGACCTCCCGGACTTCTTTACTGTATGGGGTGTCGAACCCCATTTGTTATGAGGGCCGGATCTGACATAAATGAAACCTTGTTGGGCCGGGCCATGTGTGTCATAAAAGGTAATGCCAGGTAGCAGAGATATAAACATTATAAAGAACACAAACACAATTAAAGAGTTTTAAAACTCTTTCCTCTTTCCTTCCTCTTTCTCCCGGTAAGTCCCCCCACCGGCCAGCCAATCAGTGGCTGGTAGGGCACCCAAGTCCCCCCAGGGGGCGGAAAACCCCCCGCCCCAGAGGCCCGTTCCCCGACACTGGGGAATCGGGCCCCGGGGGGAACCCCGCCCCAGCATGCATGTCACAGGGAAGTGACGTTATGACGCCGGGCACGCTGGGGGCGGGGCCACGGCCATACAAGGGAAAACTCTATGGTTTTCCCTTGTATGGTCGTGCCCCCCCCCAGCGTGCCCGGCGTCATAATGTCACTTCCCTGTGATGTGCACGCTGTGCGCGCGTGCTTCCACTTGGGAGTCCCCCGCCGGCAAGGTAAGTCCCACTTGGGAACCCTAGTGGCTGGGGGAGCAGGGCCTGGTGGTGAGGGACCCCCATCTCTACCTGGGAGTCTGGCAACCCTAATTATAAGGGCAGCATTATATACGCACAAGGAAAAATCACAGATGTGTTGTTGCAGGATGTTCTGTGCGTACAAATTACAAGCTTACTGTGGCACAGTTTCAATTTTTTCCTTCTTTTAAAAAGTCCTTCTCCTATTTAGAATTAGAGGGATTGAAGCCCTTCAGCTTCAGTGAACTTTGATAGGCCTAACACTGCATTGTTTTAAGTGACAATGTTTGGGACCAACTGGGGATTCCCTTTAAAAGCAAAATTGCAAGTTGCAGGTACTTCCACGACCCCCCCCCCCCGTTTTATGTACTACGTTTGCTGGAGCTGTGATATAGAAGATGAGTGAAAGGGGAAAAGGCTTTATAATATTTTCCTCTTTGGACCATTTTCCTGCCAAAATTCATTACCTCCAAGCTGTTTTTTTTTTTTTTTTTTTCTTTTGTTGGAACAAATGTACCTGTCTCCAGGTGTTTTCCCCAATGGGGCTTAACACAGCTGGGATGGGTGATTTTCAGCAGAGAAGTCAGACAAGGAGGAAGGATCGTTCCTCCCCAAATGGTCTTCCCTTTAAATTGTAACTCTGGTAGCATCACCATTAAAAAAATAATAATCATTTTTTATAAAAAAAGGTTCTAGAAATAGGTATGCTCAAAACTCGCCAATTTGGCTCACATTTTGCTCATCACTCTAAAACAGGGAGCCAATTTTTAGTGTTGTGAAGGGGAAAGGAATTTGTTTTTCCAAAATTCCCTTTTTTTTAGATATAGCTATTGATTCTTCTTATTCACATTTCCACCCCTCATTTAAAAGAGACATTTCTCTTTCGTTTCTCTTTTAAACCAATATAACCTTTTGTACCCCTCATGGATCACTGCCTTGTCGTGGCGAGGGGGCTTGCGCGGTTCGATGAAGCTGTGGGCTATGCCGTGAAGGGCCACCCAAGACGGACAGGCCACAGCAGAGAACTCAGACCAAGTGTGATCCACTGGAGAAGGAAATGGCAAACCACTCCAGTATCTTTGCCAAGAAAACCCCATGGACAGTAACAAAAGGCTAAAAGATATGACGCCGGAAGATGAGCCCCTCAGGTCGGAAGGTGTCCAATATGCTACTGAGGAAGTGCAGAGGGCAAGTACAAGTAACCCCAGAAAGAGTGAAGCGGCTGGGCCAAAGCCGAAAGGACGCTCAGTTGTGGATGTCTCTGATGGTGAAAGGAAAGTCCAATGCTGCAAAGAACAATATTGCATAGGAACCTGGAATGTAAGATCTATGAATCAGGGTAAGCTTGACGTGGTCAAAAATGAGATGGCAAGACTGAACATCGATATCTTAGGAATCAGTGAACTTAAGTGGACAGGAATGGGCGAATTTAACTCAGAAGACCATTATATCTACTACTGTGGCCAGGAATCTTGTAGAAAAAATGGTGTGGCCTTTATAGTCAACAAGAGAGTGCAAAAGGCAGTACTGGGATACAATCTCAAAAATGATAGAATGATTTCGGTCCGATTCCAAGGCAAACCATTCAACATCACAGTAATCCAAGTCTATGCCCCAACCACTGATGCAGAAGAGGCTGAAGTGGACCGGTTCTATGATGACCTACAACACCTCCTAGAACTAACACCAAAAAATGATGTCCTCATCATCATAGGGGACTGGAATGCTAAAGTAGGAAGTCAAAAGGTAACCGGAATAACAGACAAGTTTGGCCTTGGAAAGCAAAATGAAGCAGGGCAAAGGTTAACAGAGTTTTGTCAAGAGAACACACTGGTCATAGCGAACACCCTTTTCCAACAACCTAAGAGGCGACTCTACACATGGACATCACCAGATGGGCAACACCGAAATCAGATTGACTATATAATTTGCAGTCAAAGATGGAGAAGCTCTATCCAGTCAGTAAAAACAAGACCTGGAGCTGACTGTGGTTCAGATCATGAGCTACTCATTGCAAAATTCAGACTTAAACTGAAGAAAATCGGGAAAACCACGAGGCCATTCAGGTTTGACCTAGATCGCATCCCTGATGAATATACAGTAGAGGTGAAGAATAGATTCAAGGGTCTGGATTTGATAGATAGAGTGCCTGAAGAACTATGGACAGAGGTTCGTGACATCGTACAGGAGGCAGCAATCACCACCATACCAAAGAAAAAGAAATGCAAGAAAGCAAAATGGCTTTCTGATGAGGCTTTACAAATAGCAGAGGAAAGAAGGAAAGCGAAAGGCAAAGGCGAAAAGGAAAGATTTACCCAACTGAACGCAGATTTCCAGAGAACAGCAAGGAGAGATAAGGAGGCCTTCCTGAATGAACAGTGCAAAGTAATAGAAGAAAACAATAGAATGGGAAGGACTAGAGATCTCTTCAAGAAAATTGGAGAAATCAAGGGAGCGTTCCATGCAAAGCTGGCCATGATAAAGGACAAAAACGGTAGGGACCTAACAGAAGCAGAAGAGATTAGGAAAAGATGGCAAGAATACACAGAAGAACTATACAAGAAAGACCTCAATGTCCTTGACAAACACGACGGTATAATCACTGACCTTGAGCCAGACATCCTGGAATGTGAAGTTAAATGGGCCTTAGAAAGCATTACTAACAACAAAGCTAGTGGAGGTGATGGTATTCCAGCTGAGCTATTCAAAGTCTTAGAAGATGATGCTGTTAA